GGAAAAAAGAACCCTCTGGGAGCCTCCAGTGACTGGGCCTTTGTGTCCTGACTGCTCTCCCTGAACTCTGTTATGGCTCCTAAGGTCATGTCTGCACCTCCAATTGTGTCAGCGTTCTCAGGGGATGAAACATGGCACAACAGGAAATGCTTGTTTGAAGAGGAGGAGGAGGAGGAGGAGGCGATGATTATATTTATACCCCGCCCTTCACTACCCGAAGGAGTCTCAGAGCAGCATACAATCTCCTTTCCCTTCCCCTCCCCACAACAGACACCCGGTGGCGGTGAGGTAGATGGGGCTGAGAGCTCTTTTGAGAACTGCCATTGAGAGAACAGCTCTGAAAGAGCTTATGACTGACCCAAGGTCACACCAGGAGCTGCATGTGAAGGAGTGGGGAATCAAGCCTGGTTCTTCCAGATTAGAGTCTGCACTCCTAACCACTACACCAAACTGGTGTACTATGTGACCCATCATCAGAACTGTAGAACTGAAGAACAGAGAATGCAGGTTAATTTCACATCTAATGTGCAACTGACTGATGACATTCTTCAGGTTGTACTACTCAACTATGCATCAGTGCTCATGAAACATACAAGTGACCTGGATAGCCCAGGCAAGCCTGATCTTATCAGATCTCAAAAGCTAAGCAGAGCCAACCCTGGCAAGTATTTGGATGGGAGAGCTCCAAGGAATACCAGGGCCAGGACACAGAGGCAGGCAATAGCAAGCCACCACTGAACATCCTTGCCTTCCAGCCCCACTAGGGGTTGCCAGAAGTCAACCATGACTTCCAGGCACAAGCAGGAACAAACATACTCACCAAAAAGAAAAAAACATGCAAGTGACCAAGAATCTGCACCAGTGTCAGCACAACAGCTAATCGCAAGAGAAAAATTTGGCATCATGATATGTCTAAAATGTGTATCTTAGCAAAATACTTTTTGGCATGAAGATTCACTGCGATTTCATGATTGTTCCAATTGCTGGCACCTACCTTCTTAAGTTTCCGCATTAATTTCCCATAGGAGACCAAAATCACCAAGAGTGGTAATATGAAACAGGTGGTGAAGAATGTAATAATGAAAGTGTGGTCATTGTAGTCTCCAGAATACCTATTAAAAATAAAACAGAGTGCATGGAATGTGAGGCTTTGATTAAAGCTGAGCCAAAGAAAGATCACATTCCAGAGTTGTCTTACCAGTTGGGTTCACAGGTTGTTCCGATCTTGCTAGTCGTGTAGCTGCTCCACCCCATTGTAGGGGGGATGGTCCAGATAAAGGAGAAAACCCACACAAAGGCTATGCCCAGAGCTGCATGCTTCCCTCGGAGGCGCATATTTCCCAAGGGGCGACAGATCACAAAGTAGCGCTCAAATGCAAGCAGAGCAAGTGACCAGAGAGCAACAATCCCTAGAAAGGAAAATAAGCGATATTAGAGAAAGAATTGAGTGTAGCACATCGAGTGTTGAACTTGACCAGCAAGATCTAAATTCAAATCCTTATCCAGCTGTGAAGCTCCTTGAGTTACCATCATCTCTCCACCCTATTTTCCTCAAAGTGTTGTTATATGAATAAAATGAGGGTTCAGATACCTCACCCTGAATTCCCTGATGGACTGGTTCAATAAAATTGTAATAAAGGAAGTAGCTAATCCAACGTGACTGGAACTTGCACCAGCCAAAAGAACATAACATGGTCAGGGCATGGCAACGGTCTTGGCCCCTCAGCCCAACAAGCCATCTACCTCTAATGAGATTTTCAAGTCCTTGATGCTTTAAAAAGTATATAACATGGCACACAAGCACAGTCCTGCTTATCTGTGCTCATGGTGGGTGGATTTTACTCATAGCAATTCTACAAATAGAGAGTGAAAGTACACCTTTATGAGAAATATAAGGCTGCTGTTGAAAATGGCATCCCTGTAACCTTTCCTTTTATGGTTAGCTCATTTGACCAAAGGTCTTAAGCATAAAACCGCTACATCTCAGCAATATAAAACAAACGTACAACATGGCGTAGGCAAGGCAGATAAAAGCAACATTCAGAACATCACAAAATCTAAAACAGACTAAATAGATACATAGTTTAGATAGACCTATAGTGTTCCACAAGTAACATAAGGTAATATGATAAAACAAAGAAGAATAAAATACAAAGCAATGAAATACATATATCTCCTAAAAGTCTTAAGCACATTAGATTAAATCTATAACCCCTTAGATAGGAAAAATGGGTGAACCCCTGTCATGTCTCTTATGGTCAGCAAAGTAAGGCTCATTGTAGCAGCGTTTTAAGGGTTACAGGCTCTCCCCCTTTCCTTTCTAGTACCACAAAGTGAAATCTATCCAGGGTCCTGACACTATCACATCCCTCCCCCATTGTACATTGTTGGCTGCCTACGGTATGTGTGTGTGTGTTCATGGTATTCAGGACATGGTAAAAGTTGCACTACAGTGTTCAGATGGGGAAGAGGAATTCTCAACACAAGAACGTCATTTTCACCAGGGACTCTATGTTTTTTATATGTACTTCAGTGCTTCCATTCTTATTCAGGGCCCCCCCCCCCCAAATTCCAGAATAAAGGATTATTTCAAGAAAGAAAGTGTGTGCTAATTACACAGTGCTGTTACATTTGAACTGTTTAGAAAGCATTTAGAATGGTGGGCTTCTTCATTACCTGCCCTCTTTTCTCTTATTGATAAAATTGGGAGGGTGCCTGAAATCTGGACTAAGCTTAAAATTGTTCCTATTTTTTTTAAAAAAAGAAGACACACACACCCCTCCAATACTTGTGAATTATCAACCAATTAGCCGCTTGTCAATTGTTGGTAAGTTTTATGTGAGATATTTATTGGATAAGCTTTCTTCTTGGATGAACACCCCAAACATTGTGGGCTTGGAACAGATTGGCTTCTACTCAGGCAAATCTGCACTGAATCATTGCATTATCCCTGACCATTTTGCAGAGAAATATAGTGGTTCAAGTAGGAAGAAATTGTTTTTACTGTTTTTGACCTGAAGGGGGCTTTTGATTCTATCCCCAGGAACCATACGTGGGATAGACTGAATAAGCTCTTGATGGATAAGAGATTTTTTTCTTATTTGTAAATTATACTCTTCAACTAGTTGTGGTTTGCAGGGTGGATTAACCACTGAGATCTCTGCAAACCAGGGGGTTAAACAGGGGTGTATTCTGGCTCCCTATCTTTTTAATTTATTTATGAACAATCTGGCACCCATTCTGAGGCTGGTCAATGGCCACTTTCCAAAACTTGGTCCCTGTCATATTCCATTGTTTCTTTATGCCAACGATGCTATGGTATTTTCCTTAACACAAATGAGCCTCAAATGCTTACAGTCTGCTTTTCTGACCCATTGCAATGCTAATTTATTGCCTATTGATTTTGAAAAATCCAAAATTATGTTGTTATTTTTCTAAGGCCTGGAAGTATTTTAGTAGGAGAGTCAGGGAACCATGGAACAAGTCAAGCAGTTCAGATATCTGGGAGTACATTTTTGGTATGATAACAGCAGGTCTACCCAACTTAACTTAACTTGGCCAAATGCGGTATGTCTGCTGGGGTAGGTTTCTTTTCTGTTCATGTTCTCAGACTCCTACTTAAGCAAGTGGTCGCACACAGTTCTGTAGAAAATTAATTCAATTGGCCTTCCACTCGACTCACTCCATATGTTGAAGAAACAACAGGGCTTTAGATTGCTGTGTCAGAGACTGCAGGATATCGAGAGACAACTTTGGCACGCTCTAGCAAATAGAACATTTTACCCTATTACAAATGGTATAATGCCAGTCTGTGGGTCTCCTGCTTTCCTACTTATTCCATCTTAAATTCCCCCCCCCCCAAGTCTGCAGAGCTTTTACGCTCACCTGGTTTAGCATTCTGCCTTCAGCAATTCTTTATGGTTGATTTTTGAGAATTTCTCATCAGGAGAGATATTGTTCCTGTAGAGCCAGGGTTCCTGAATTTTTACCTCGTGTCTTATGATACTATAGCTTTTGTACTGAGTTGAGGAAATCCTTAATTAGCCCCATCTTACACAAATTTCAGCATTTCCCGCATGAGTGGTTGGTTTTATACCTTTTATCTGACTGGAACACATTGCCAATCAAGTTGCTAGCTCTTTCCTAGCCACTATGAAGATCCATGGGTTGGTTATGAATTATCATGAATGGTTTTATCTCTATTTTGCTTGTGTTTATGAACACCAGTGTGCTATCTGATGTGTATATTTGTGCTAACTGGCTAGGTAGTATTCTAGACTGTTTAGTGTTTGTAACAAATGCCTAATCAAAGTTCTGTGATGTTATTATTAGATAATTATTTGCTAAATATTTTCATTTACTTAATATAGTACAAAAGTTTGAAATACACTTGCCTTCACATGTATGTATGAAGGTGCCATCTAGTAGCAACCAACTTATGGTGACCTCAATGGCATAATATAGTACAAAAGTTTGAAATACACTTTTCACACAAGAGTTAAATTTTCAAATCCTGGCCTTCTTTCTGATTTTGTCAGTTTAGCTAATCCGCAGCTTGGTTTTAAATGAATTATCAAGCTTTGGTTATGCAAAAACATGGAGCCTACGAACTGAGAACTTCTTGCCTTCACATGTATGTATGAAGGTGCCATCTAGTAGCAACCAACTTATGGTGACCTCAATGGCAGTGACCCAAAAAAAAGGGCTTCCAAGGCAATGAGAAACAGAGGTGGTTTGCCATTGCCTTCCTCTGCAGAATCTTTCTTGGGCATCTCCCACCCAAGTACCAGCCCTGCTTTTGAGGTATACCACATTGACTTCCCTCCCTCCTTCAAACATACTCATTCCCAAATAAATCCTTTTGTGTATCACAGCTGATGTTACACATAAACTAGTTCCCAATTATTTCACATATGAAAGCAGATGCAGAACATAAACAGAACCTCCATTGTTTTCTGCTGACCCTTACAGCACTTTGATCACACAAATCCTAGGTTCAGTCACCAGCATCTCCAGATAGGATCCCAGGTAGTGGAGAGATTTCTCTGCCTGAGAAAATATTGGGCTTGACAAACCAACGGCCTGATATGAAAGAAGGCGAATTCATATGCTGAGAGAATAAAATAGGAATTATCATTCACATGGGACAACCTAGAGGTTAACCGCGATCTCCTTCGGCAAAATGTTAGACGTGTCAAACATACAAACAGCACAGGAAAAAGACATAGATAGCCAGGAGCAGCAACATACAAACAGCACAGGAAAAAGACATAGATAGCCAGGAGCAGCACAATAGCCCTCCAGCTGCATGAATAGTACAGAAGAAGAGTGATTTACTACTATTTTTTCATTTAGGAATAAGTTCTTGTAGCTAGAAAATTTAGGCACAAGTGTGCTTGGATAATATGAAGATTACTGAGATAGAGTGGATTGCAGAAGGAGCTGCTTTGGGGTGAATGTAGATGCAAAGTAATTGACCAATTACCTGGATAAAGAGCTGCAGTTAATCAACTACCAACACTTTCATTGGTCAATAGCCCTGTTACAGCATGATTATTTTTCATTTTTCAACAATAAGGCTTCAAGACAGAAAAGATTTACTACAAAGCCTACCTTGTTCTTTCCAAGCAGCATGCATTCTGTAACACACCGTTTACCCTTCCAGCATTTTAAAGGAAATAAATCCCTATAAACAAACCTGTGTTACAGCTGCTGGCTGCTGTGTGCATTTCCATTTGTCATCCCAAATACAGAATGCTGCTCGCCAGTGTTAGTGTGTATAATTAACTGGGCAATGTCAGTGGCAGTGGGTGTGTACCAGCTCAGTGGTGTGGTCAAGTTATAGCATCTACACATAGAAGTCATGAACACATGAAGCTGGCTTATGCTGAACCAGACCCTTGTTTTATCTAAGTCAGTATTGCCTACTCAGACCAGCAGCAGCTCTCCAGAGTCTCAGGCAGAGAAAGGACTTTCACATCACCTGCTCCCTGGTTCTTTAACTGGAGATGCCAGGGATTGAACCTGGAACCTTCTGCATGTCAAGTAGATGCTGAGCCATGGCCCTTCCCAAAAGGTGCCTTTTCTCTTTAGCTCTAACTGTACACAAGGGTACATTTCACAATTCACAAGGGCCACTTCCAGGGTTGCTAATGAACAAGCACCCTGACCTGGATGGACCAGGCAAGCCCGATTTCATTAGATCTCAGAAGCTAAGCAGGGTCAGCCCTGGTTAGTGCTTGGATGGGAGACCACCAAGAAAGTCCAGGGTTACTTGGCAGAGGCAGGCAATGGCTATGCTGCCTCTGCTTGTCTCTTGCCTTGGAAACACTATGAGGTTGCCATAAGTAGGCTGCGACTTGACCAGTACTTTACAAACTCGCATTGAACAAGGAGTTGTATATGTATTAAAATAAAACCTTTCAGCTTACCAAAGAAAGTCACTGCAAATCCTTCCAGCACACAAGCCCAGCGGCCCATGTAAAAATAACCCTTCATGTTGGTTAAGAAACTGATGGTGCCTCCAATCAGAGAGACCAGGAAATCCGCCACAGACAAGTTCACTATGACATAGTTGACCGGCTGCCTTAGCTGTTTGAATTTCACAGTCACCAGGATGACAGTAAAATTTTCAGAGAGAGACAGGGCGGTCACCAAGAACATCAAAGCAGAAATAAGGTGGAAATTCCATGGCTGAATGAAGTCCATTGGGTGCCGGAATGGGTCCGGCAGGGGTAAGGAACTTGCTGAGGGACCTAGAGTTGAGGACTCGTTTTCAGATTCTCTCACCAGTCCATCCATTCCTGAACCTCACCATAGAAAAGCCGACTATATCCAAAAGGTTTACTTCATCTCACCAACTCTGTGTTTTCTCACCTTCAGACAGAATTTCACAGCTATATCAGCAGCTTAAAAAAAAAAAAAACACCTCCACACTCCTGTGTGTGAAATAAAACTAGCAAAATAAAGTTCTCAGAAGAAAGTTGTTCGGCAGTCGCAGTAAGAAAGCCCACGCAGGGGAGTCTCTGAAAAACAATCTGGTCTCCTTGCTCTTCTCTCTTTGCTGCTCCTAATTTATATCCACACCAGCAGGAGGAAAGGAAGCAGCAGGGCTTCTCCTCGAGATCCTTCAGCAACAGAACGATGCACTGTAGAAACAGCCCTGGGCTCTATCTGGAGAGGACGCTCAGGCAGGAATCCCTGCCTGCTTTCCAGAATTAGCAAGAAAGAGCAGTCCTTTCATTTGGAATAAGTAAGCCGGACAGATGCCTTCCTCGTGCTTCTCAGTGTTGCTACAAACAAAGCAGGGGCTCCTTTTTGCTAGGTCTGCTAAAGAGAGGGCTGACCTGACAGCATTAGAAACGCAATGAACACCTTGGGCAGGTATAAAGGAGGCACCAGCACCAATGAGGATAACCCTTACTGGAAGGACACAAAATAGCTACAGGTTGTTAAAACAGCTACTGCCTTGGTGTTTAAAACAGGGCTATGTTGTATAGTGACAGTATATTGTGTGGGGTTGTTTGTTTATTTTTGCGGCCATCACCTCCAGAAATTCACTTTAACAAAACCGTTTTGAACATTTTGCTTTGAACAAATTACCCCCTTTCCAGTCTTCAAATAGTCATAATCATCAAGAGAGCACTCAGAGGGCCAGATTCCATCCCTTTTCTTTCAACACAGTCGTTATTTTACGCTTTATGCAATCTCACTGAAATCAGTTTCTGAAGGGAAAGTGTTGCCTGTGGAAGATTCTGCCTCCTAAGAAGCAGTCTTTCCCCAGCCCTTCCAAATGTTCGCTACAATTTAGAAATACCAACAAATTCCAGAATACCTCAGATTTAGAGTTTTCCACAGCCTGTGAATATTTATTTGAGACTGGACTCTGATGCCTGATGGAAAATAAATCAAAATGAAAATGTCTGGTGAATGCTGGTGATGCCCTGAGACCGAGAGGCCCTCGGGTGACCCTGCTGTGACCTTCATCATGCCACTAATGGGGTCTTCCCTGCCTTATCTTACTTACTGGATCTGAAGGGGAATGGCCTGATAGCACTGGTTTCTCGGAGGCATGAAGGGCAGTTTCTCTGAAGACTTAAGTTCTTTTCAGACATGGGGTAGGATGAGTGTGCTTTAAGGGAGGCCTAATGCCACTCCTTTTCCCATCAGTGTCACTTCCCAGGAAAATGAAGAAAACACTGGAGTGGGGAAGGGGAATACCATAGTCTCCCCCCATGTGGTTTGAATTTACCAGTATAGCCAGAGAAATTCAGGAAGAGCAGTATAGGATCTGGGAGACTCAGGCTTGAATCCATGGCAGAGCATAAAGTTGCTGAGTGAGCTTGAGCCAGTAAAACACTCTCAGCCTAGTTTATGTCTCAGGGTTGAGAATAAAATGGAGGACAGGAGAGTGATGTATGCTGCTGTGGATCTCCACTGGGGACAAAGGTGGGGTATAATTAGGGTTGCCAATATCCAGGTGAGACCTAGAGATTGGTCTCCCCTGGAGAAAATGCTGGCTTCGGAGGGAGGGCTCTGTGGCATTATACCCACCTGAGGTCCTTTGTCTCTCCCAGTCCAACTCCCAGCCTCCTCCCCCAAATCTCCAGGAATTTCCCAACCTGGAGTTGGCAACCATAGGTATAAATGAAGAAAATAAGATTTGTATTGTGATACTGAAACAGGAGGGTGTGATGTGCAGATTCTTTCACTCTTACACTCTTCTCTATCTAGCTATTCTCTACCTAAAGTTCTCCCTCCCTCCATTTTAATCCAACTGGAGCCCACAAACACCAGCTATCCATTGTAGAGGGACTAGCGTACCCAAACACAGATATCAGACTTCTAGGATTTCTGAAATATTTGCAGGAAGTGGGTTCTCTAAAACGTTTTTCAGTGTCCGTTTCCCAAAAAAGCTCAGGAAATAGTTCAAAGCCTCTAGGGAAACAAACCAACCAACCATTATTGGGTACAATTTGGAGGGATGGCTGGCATTCCAAAACAGGACAGCCTCATCAAATTGGTATGTGGAAAGTGGCTTCTGAGCACTTGGCTGAGGTGGATGATACTGGCTTTTCATTCTGAAAATTGGCCCCATAGGAGATGCTACTTGCCACCAGTAAGGAGGAAAACATACATTTCCTGTGTTCCTGGCCCTCAGTACTGACGTTGGTCTGTGGTGATGGAAGTTAACTTTTTTGTACCACCTCCTCATGGTATAAAGAGGCTCTCTGGAGATGCCAGTTGCTCCAGTGGGAGTGACATGCATTCAGTACAAAAACTGCTCCAGCAGGCCAATATACATTGGGAAAAGGTCACCCTACTCCCAGATGAGCATCATAAGTCAACTATGGTCAGCGACGTGCTGAATTCCAGGTCCTGGCAGCTCTGGTTGAAGACTCTGGATCCATCTGCCATTCCCCAGACATATCTGGTGAAAGTGGAGGAAGGAGAAAGCAAAAAACTTTCTTCAAATACATTAGAAACAGGAAACCAGCCAGGGAGGCAGTGGGGCCCTTGGACGACCAAGGGGTAAAAGGAGTATTGAAGGATGATAGGGAAATGGCTGAGAAGCTAAATGCATTTTTTGCCTCCGTCTTCACTGTGGAAGATGAGAAGTGCTTGCCCACTCCAGAACCACTGATTTCAGGAGGGGTGTTGGAAGACCTGAGTCAGATTGAGGTGATGAGAGAGGAGGTCCTAAAACTGATAGACAACTTAAAAACTGAAAAATCACCAGGCCCAGATGGCATACATCCGAGAGTTCTGAAAGAACTCAAATGTGAACTTGTAGATCTCCTGACAAAGATATGTAATCTTTCCTTAAAATCTGCCTCCATTCCTGAGGATTGGAAGGTAGCTAATGTCACTCCCATCTTTAAAAAGGGTTCCAGAGGAGATCCGGGAAATTACAGGCCAGTCAGTCTGACGTCGATACCGGGTAAATTGGTGGAAACCATTATTAAGGAAAGAATTAGTAGGCACATAGATGAACAAAACCTATTGAGGCAGACTCAGCACGGTTTCTGTAAGGGAAGATCTTGTCTCACTAACCTGTTAGTGTTCTTTGAGGGGGTGAACAAACATGTGGACAAGGGGGATCCAATAGATATTATTTACCTTGACTTCCAGAAAGCTTTTGATAAAGTTCCTCATCAAAGGCTCCTAAGTAAGCTCAAAAATCATGGGATAGAAGGACAAGTTCTTTTATGGATCAAAAACTGGCTAGTTCATAGAAAACAGAGAGTGAGTGTAGGTGGGCAATTTTCTCAGTGGAGGGTGGTAAGCAGTGGGGTACCGCAGGGATCAGTACTTGGTCCACTGCTTTTTAACTTGTTCATTAATGATTTGGAGATGGGAGTAAGCAGTGAAGTGGCTAAATTTGCGGATGATACAAAGTTGTTCGGGGTGGTGAAAACCAGTGAGGATTGTGAGGCACTCCAAGGGGATCTGTCAAGGATGGGCGAGTGGGCGTCAACATGGCAAATGGGGTTCAATGTGGCCAAGTGCAAGGTGATGCACATTGGAGCTAAAAATCCTAAATATAAATACACATTGATGGGGTCTGAACTGGCAGAGACTGATCAAGAGAGAGATCTTGGAGTTGTAGTGGATAACTCACTGAAAATGTTGAGACAGTGTGTGACTGCAATAAAGAAGGCCAATGCTATGCTGGGGATTATTAGGAAGGGTATTGTAAACAGATCAGCCAATATCATAATGCCCCTATATAAATCAATGGTGAGACCTCATTTGGAATACTGTGTGCAGTTCTGGTCACCACACCTTAAAAAGGATATTATAGCTTTGGGAAAAGTGCAGAAAAGGGCAACTCGAATGATAAAAGGGTTGGAACACTTTCCCTATGAGGAAAGGTTAAGGCGCTTAGGGCTCTTTAGCTTGGAGAAACGACGACTGAGGGGTGACATGACTGAGGTTTATAAGATTATGCATGGGAAAGAGCAGGTAGAGAAAGAGGTACTTTTCTCCCTTTCTCACAATACAAGAACTCCTTGTGGGCACTCAATGAAATGACTGAGCGGTCGGGTTAGAACGGATAAAAGGAAGTACTTCTTCACCCATTGGGTGCGTTCAGACGCGGCGTTTGCAACGGTATAGGTGCTGGTTGCAATCGTTGTACTTACCGGCGTTCACACGTAGAACATCTGCCTTCCGTCCCTAACCGTTGCAAAGCCCTTTAAACCGTTGTACTCTGCCACTAGGTCCCCAAGTGGTGGTATCCTGAGTACAACGGTTGTAATCGCTGTACCCGCCATCTGATCACTCTCCACCGTTGAGAAACAACTTCCGTTCGGAAGCCTGAGGTTTCCGATTTTTGCCATTTTTTTTAAAAGGTTGGCGATATGCGCTTGGGCAAAGCTTCGCCCTGACGTTTGTTTAAAAAAAAGAAAGAAAAGGGCCTTAGTTTAGCGTTTCGGAGGCGTCCAGGACCTCAGGGAGGCTACTTTGCTCTTTAAACTTTAAAGGTAAGTCCTTACCTTTAAAGTTTAAATGTAAGACGGGGTTTTTTGCGCATGCGCGAAGCTCGCCATTCTGTGGATGGCTGCCTATGCGCATGCTCAAACTGAGTTTAAAACAAAAACAAAAAACGCCGATGCCCACTGTGTGTGGACGGGCATACAGCGATGGGATCTGCAGACAGGAGGTGAGTGTGATCGCGTTTCAGCCGGCATAAACTCTACCAGTTCCAACCAGTACAGTTTATACCGGCTGAAACGGCGCGTCTGAACGCACCCATTTTGCAGTGGGTTTTCATGACGTGTACAATACAGCTAAAGATA